CAATTATAGCCAGTTACTTAGGCAAAGCTAATTTTCACTTTAAAACATTTTTTTTTGTGTCCTTATGCGCTTTGTTTTCATATTTTTTAGGGATAGTACATTAGTAGAGCTACCTCTACCAGTTTGATTCACCCATTCTGGGACACCCTGTATAACGTGACAGCACACAAATCTGAAATCTCGCTGACGTTTGACGTTAGAAAAACACTGAGTTAAGCCTACCTATAGTTTCACAACACAAATATATATGTATGACTTCTCTAATTGAAAAAAATATCAAAGAACAATGTTTAATATCGAGACAATATAATCTTAAAGCTATTGTGTTTAAATTAAAACCATTGAAACTACAAAACAAAAGTACATTGAGATTCAACAACTTTAGTTCACATTGAAAACTGTTTATAAGGGCATCAAAGGTTATTTTAAATTGTTTTAAACGTTTATTGTTTTACAAACGACAACACATATTTTTGCTACAAACCTTCAATCTATTTTCAACCTTATGTTGAAAATAAATTGGAGAAATTCGTCATTTGTGTTGGCGACTGTATGTGACAGTAAAATAATTGAAAACATAACCAAAACCAAATTATTATGGTCAAATCAAAAATTTTCTTTCTCGTTCATCATTTAATAAAATCAAAACATTTTAAACTGAGTTTTAAACGGTTAAGTTAAAACATTTAAAATAACCTTTCCAACACACGATATACAAAGTCTAGGTATAGTTAAAAAAGTTAGTCGCCCATGACATGACAGTTAAGCTTAAAAAAGGGAGAAAAACGAAAAAGAACATGACAGATGATTGAAGTTAGAAAACGTGATTCGCCGGCGCCATCTTTGCAACTGACACTTTTGACAGATGTCATAGTGACAGATAATGTCAAATGGCACGGCGCGCGTTAAGAGTGATTTAGCATTTTTAATTTTAATTTACTTTTAAACATTCATTCATCTGTTGCATGATCGGGCAATACAATGATCACATTATTTTTAATAAAAAAAAAGGTTTAAAACCAACATCATCAACTCAAGCGTCCGTACTGCGGAAAAAAACTGATACAATAAATGTACAATACAAATACATACTTACAAACATACAATATTGATGACACATCGGTTCATACAGCGTAGCGTCCCTTCCTTAGCTGGAGCTCAATACAAACATCTTAGGAGTATTAATTTTATATAATGTGAACGCAACAAGTTTTTGGCATGAAGGCACATATACTAACCAACGCCGTCTAATATAACACAAACATATTTAAATATATAAAAATTGAAACCTCATATCGAAGACTGACAGCTGTCAAACTGTCAACGTGGCGCTGTCAAAATCTCTCAATTAACGGTTTCAAATTATAATTTGTTAATCTCTAAAGCTAAAGAAGCAATGATTATATCATTTAATTTAATCTAACGAAGGTTAAATATAATTAGTTTTAATAACCAATGATAAATTAATGAAATTAATTCAATTATTCAACAAAATTTGAGAGATTTTGACAACGATTATTTTTATGATCAAAACACCGACTGACTTGTGTTAGATTTATGCCCGTTTTCACCATCAATCCCTAATTTTTAAGTGACCCCTATGTAAACAAAATTCCTGTTATTTGTTACCATAGGAGCCACTCAAAAATTAGGAATTGATGGTGAAAACGGGCATTAGTCAGGTTTTCTTTACTATTAGTTAAGTGACAATCTATACAAAAACATATCGTGCTATGTAGCTTTCCTTTCCATACATTATTTTCAAAAATTTAAAGTTTAGAACGAAATACAGTCAATTCAAATAGTGATGTACATGATTTTTAGAACATATGTTAGTTATACATAACGTTACCAAATATAGACAGCGACAATAATGTAATAAACGATTTATCCAAAAAAATATCAATGTAATAATTAATCAATTTTGCTTTTCTTTTGACATTTGACTGTCAAAAACATGTCATTAAAAGCACTTTTGACAGCAGAACTTTGGCCTATCATTTAAATTATGCAAAAAAAAGGTATTTTCAAACGTAATAAAATTGTTATGTTAAATAAGAGTGCCCAGCAATGCACAATGGTTATCATTGTGATAGAAGATAGTTAATATCCAAAACTTTTAGTCGCATAAAGACTTGTTTACGAAAAAATATCAAAGAATGAAACAATATCGTAAAATTTCGAATCGATTCATCAATTTCGATAGCAGATTTCTTTTTTAATGTTTTAAAAATAGATTAACTGCTTATTTATTTATTATAAGTAAATATTCCACTATATTTTCATCTAGTCTGCGCTATTTTCAACTGTCTACTTTGATTTATATTGTAAATTCGTGTTCAATATCAAAATCTGATTTTTGACATAGTTTTTTGTTAAAAATAAAAGTTGATTTAGTTAAATTTTTGACGAAAAATTTAACGAGCCATCGATTTTGGTTAGGCATAAATATTTTTTAACAAAAAATTATGCCAAAAAATATGTTAGCACATCTCTACTCCCCGAAATTGTAGGTAATGTGGTGAAGGGCACTTATAGATTTATCCGTTATTTTAAAGAAATATTATGTATGAAAAGACGTACACTTTTAAAGCAAAAGACAACCGTGTAAACATTTAATGGGAAAAGTTTACAAAAATCAATTTTTTAGTTATTCTTTTGCCTTTAAAGTGGACGTCAATAAATATTTTAATATCCTTTTAAGTTTCTATTTAGTAATTCCGAGTTTCTACAAAAAAATCAAGCTACATCGACTTACGAATATCCGATTGCATGTGATTTTAGACAACTTTCATTTTGGCATAATTTCAAAACGTTTTTTATACAGTATAGTTACCATCATATTCTGAACTTTGCTACTAATATTACTGTCAAAATGTCACTTACTCAGTAAAACCAGGGTACAGTCACCGTCAAATAGTTCGTGACGCCCAAAGTAGCCAAAAAGTTCGCAAAGTCTTTGTTACTTAGAATAAGTTTGTGTTGTCAACTTTGGGCCACATTGGGTGTCACGAGCTATTCGACGCTGACTGTACATAGGTGTTAACTACAGTTCAAGTTGTCTAAAACCACATTTGAAGCACTAACCGGGGTGTGAACACGCGGCCACGTCGATTCAAGCTCCTTACTTACCAAGTGCGACAGAGAAACGCCTATTTCAATCTAGCGAGAGGGTGTTGGTGCGATGTGTTACAAGTTACAAATACATAATATCATGTTTTGTTATCAGTTTATAGTCAAATGATTCAGAAACGTCAAATGGCAAAAATCGGAAATAATAACCCAGTATTGATAGTGGCGCCCTTCTGCAAAAGCTGTAATAATTTAGCAATCTTGCGTTTTGTCAAAAATAAACTAATAATTGATAGTAGCGCCTCCCTGTCAAAGTGAAACTACACAGAACACTAGTGTTGGACAACTGTAACATTAGGTGTGATATAACATTGATATACTTGCATTTTCTACACTAATATGTACTATATTATAAAAGAGGAAATATTAGATTGTTTGTTTGTACTGAATAAGCTTCAAAAACTGAACCGATTTGAAAAATTTTTGCTCCATTCTTCTACATTATTGCTGATGAACATAGGCGATACGAAGTTCGCCGAATCAGAGTCTGATTCAAAGTTAGTTGATGGTACTCACTCATGAGCTATGATAGTAATCGCATAATCAAATAACCATCATGTACTCTTGTAAATGCTGCACCTTTACTGATAAAACTTAGCACACCGCACCAACGCTCTTTAATCTTTATATACCTAATACGAAAACCGCGTAATAAATACAAAACCTGTACATACATACAGCTATTTTACACATCACCGCACAGACGAATCTCACTTCACATCACACCTTAAGGCTGGCGTTTCGATAAGTTTTTGACAATGCCAATGGCATGATAAGTCTTGTCTTGTCTGACGCAGTTTGACACCAAAGTTGTTGACACAAGTATTCACATAGTCAAACGATTCTGAAACGTCAGGTGGCAAAAAATAATATTGACAGTAGACGTAGTGTCTTGGCAGTTACAAGTAACATCTTGATGTTACTGAGTGGGTGACCTTTTTTGGCAACTTTGTTAATTTTTTTGTGTATGTCTTTTGTTGCCAAAATATTTTGTTTTCTTTTTTTCTTTCTAGCGCCCTCCTGTAAATATCATAATTATATGGTGACCCAACGTGGCAATAATCGGAACTAATAATCTGTACAAATATTATAAATGCGAAAGGTACTCTGTCTTGCGTTCACGCCTAAGCCACTGAACCGATTTTGATGAAACTTGGCATAGAGATAGTTTGAGTCCCGGGAAAGGACATAGGATAGTTTTTATCCCGGTTTTTGAAACAGGGACGCGCGCGATGCTTTTTCTGTGACAGACAAAATTCCACGCGAGCGAAGCCGCGGGCGGAAAGCTAGTCCAGTATAGATAGTAGCGCCCTCCTGACAATGTCATGTCTGAGACACTTCAGTGTTGTCTAACTAATATACCCTTGCCCTGACATCTGACACATGTCATAAAACTTATTGAAACGTCAGCCATCATAGATCTAATCTTAAGCTACCCTTACATACGACGCGCGCGCTGCCCAATACCAAATAAAAGGAACGTGTCTTTTGTAACTCACATAACTTCACGTTACATAGTTTATTATTTTTATCTTCCAGATAAAGTTACAGATAGTTGACTGTCATATTTTATCTGTCACTTAGTACTTTAACATCCGCATTCACAAACATCACTACGAGGTCTCACAATGTGCGTGAACGCACAGGGTGACACACGAACCAATCACAGAGCTCTATTCAACGCTATGCGTTCGATTTGCTGCTTCACTAAAGCAAGCATTGTTTGTGAATACGGGCGATAGTTATCAGGTACTTTAACACTCGTTTTCACAAACATTACTATGAGGTCTCACAGTGTGGACGCACAGGGTCCCAAAAACCTATTCATAGACAATACTTGAATGGCGGAGTGACACACACGAACCAATCACAGAGCTCTATTCAACGCTGTGCGTTCTATTTGCTGCTTCACTTAAGCGAGCATCGTTTGTGAATACGGGTGAAAACTACTCAACTGTGATTTTTGATGTCATTAGGAATGTATTAGGAATTAGCCGACTTCCAAAAAAGGGGATCTTTTAAAGAAGAAAAATAATAAACTATGTACGCCATAAACAAACCATACAACGTAATATTAAAGGAATAATGTCCAAAATACAATATCAACTGTCGGTCAAATGACTAGTGCTGTTACCCTTAAAATATGCGGGTAGGTTCACATTTTGTTGTTTACATTTACCCTATTCTCAAATTAGGGACACACGGAGAGAAATTACACTTGGGTTTAGAAAGAGACGCAGACAGTTTCAATTGAAGAGCGCTATCTCTATCACACTTTTTTTTAACTAAAATATTTTCACAAAATTGTTCAATTGATTTTGAATGTTAAAGTTCAATTTCTTGAGGAAATTAGTTGTAGGTTGCTTTTAAAGAAAAGTACAATGTTGGAAGACTTTTGCTGACAATTTGATAGAAAACTAGTACTTTTAGAACAAGGTTTAGTGGTATCACTGTCTCTTTCTATCATAGAGAAAACAATATTCGATAGAAAGAGACGAAGTATGCACAAAAATTAACTTTATTTCGTGTAAATGACAGAGATAGCTATACAAATAAAAATCGCCGTCTCTTTCTCAACACCGTTTCTCTCGAGTAACATCAAGCGTTCGTCACGCGACTTAGAGCTCAAACACTCCGACTTAAAGTTGTTTATACAACACCGCGTTCAACCGACATTCGTCACAAATAAACGTTTAAATAACCGCCCGCCGCGTTCGACTGTGCTACACTTTGACAGTTCTTTCGTCGCCATCTTGTTCTTTGACAGTTATAGACGCCATTTTGTTTGGTTTTTGACGTTTGAGTAACGTTCCATCAGGTTATGAAGTTGTCAAAATAATTAGTACTTTAAAAATGTGTTAAATATTTTTTTCATTTATTCTTTACAGTATTATTTTTTCTGTTTTTGCAAAAAGTGATATTTATTCCGTGTTCATAAAATAAAAAAGTGTGATGCTATTTAGTTAATTATGTATTTGTGATGTGTTTACATTTTACACAGTGAAAGTTTTACTTTAGCTTTTAAAAGATTAGTGAATCAAATTTTCAAGACTATATTTATTACTGTATTCATTGGAACTAAACAAAATCTTGACATATTATTTTTTAATTAATCCGTAACCGATTAATGATCGGCACACCATTTTAACAAGCATAGGTCGCGCAGCGAAAGTTGTCAACATAAGCAAAGATTTGTATCTGATTTGTATGTTCAAATACTAAGGTCCTTACCTATGAAATTAGCGTTTTGTATGGAGAATTTACGAAAATATTTTTTTTGAAATTTTGTAGGTAGTTTGAAACAACACTTATGCAATAGAAAACATTAAGTTTTTTTAATTGGTATCTGTATAAAAATATTTTTATTTTTGTAACGAAAACTGATGCCACTTAGGACGCAGCTCGTCCTAATCTTTGAAGATTTAATTCTTATTGAAAAAAATCAAAATTTGTTAAAAATGTATATAGAAGTTGGTTAAAAGTAAGTCCTTGAAATCAAATTTCAAATAAAAAAGAACGATGAACATAGCTACAATATGAAGGAAATACTAATGAATATTGAAGAAAAAATAACGCTAATTTCATAGGTAAGGACCAATATTACATCAAGTGTGACTATGTCTTCGCCTCAACTCTTTTTGCGCGACCTATGATCTTCTTTATAACGTGTCAGTTACATTTAGGGTTGCCAGATGCCAGGGAAATCCGGGATTGTCCCGGAATTTTGCGTCATGTCCCGTGTCCAGTAATTAGACATTACTGTCCCGGATTTCCGAAAACCTAATAGTTATGTGTCAAAATAAACTAATATATGTAATAACAAATGACACGGCTGGCCTGCCTGTGAGTCCTATTATGTACGTTGACGTACATTACTTATTTAATAAGTGTGTATTTGAAAATAAATGGCATTTTTCTTTTAAAATACAAATTAAATCATTTGAGAAACCAAGATATTTTTACTATGGCCAAGTCCCAAGACCGTTGTCCTAGTAGGATTGTCCCGGATTTGGTAAGTTTCCATCTGGCAACCCTAGTTACGTTACGTCACCAAGCAACCAAGATGGCGTCCAAGATGGCGTCCAAGATGGCGTCCAAGATGGCGGCTGCCTAGCGCGCGTCAGTCTGCGTGGCGCGCGTGGTGGTGCGCGCGCGCCGCCGCCGCTACGTGCCGCCGGAACCGCCGCCGCCGGGACGGCCCGCCTCCTCGCGCTGCTTGCTTATGTACACCTGGGGCAGATAGGGGAAGTCTTAACAGTCTGTCAGAGCCAAATTATGCGGTACAAGAATATTATCGTGGTACAGTTAGCGTCAAATAGTTTTGTGTTATTAACTTCTTGGACACTTTGGGTGTCACGAACTACACACATCAACATGATCTAGGGATATTTCAATTAAACCTAAATAACTAAAATTCTATTCACTTTTTGTTAATCACGCAACGAGAGTTGAGGCCACTAATACAAGCAAAGATTTGTATCTGTATACGCTGTCTGCGAGAACGTCTTGCGTAGTCGCGCTGACAAGTGATTTCTGACTCGCTTGCAGACATTTAACAAAAGCGAGGTAGGTACTATACTTGATTATTTGTGTTCTATATTAAAATATTACATCATTGCGAGTATATTATATTAAGAATTATTTGCATTGATTGAGAAAATCTCCAACGTCGAGCTATTGGAACGCTCCCAGGAAATTCCGATCGACCAGCAGATCAAGCGCCGCAAGTGGAACTGGATTGGCCACACTCTCAAGGGACCCCGATCACATCCCTAAGCAGGCTCTGGATTGGAACCCCCAAGGAAAACGCAAACGTGGTCGCCCCAAACACACTTGGCGGCGCACTGTAGCGGACGAGGCGAAGAAGATCGGCAAGACTTGGAGCGAGATCAAACGTGAAGCTCAAGACCGAACGAGATGGAGGACTGTTGTGGACGCCCTCTGCCCCATCTAGGGGACATAGGACCTTAAGTCAAGTAAGTCACGTCTCCTGACATTTTGCGAATCTGACGTTTTGTGAATCATTTTGACATTTGGCGCCTAACTAAACCGTCATAAATGATGTTGCTGACTCACCTGCAGCAGCCGGTACTTGCTGACGGACAGGTGCTTGAGATGCGGCTGCATACGCTCCTCGCCCAGCGCGAAGGTAAAGGCCACCATGCAGAACACAGCTGCTTTGCGCACAGCAGAGTTCTGGTGGTCGGCCAGCTGGAAGAAGAGTGGGCGGTTAGATGGAGGTGTTTTTGATTGGTGCTGTTCAAAAATCCCCTAGGCCCCCTTAGGGGTCCCCTGAACGACACCCTAGGAATAACATCAAGGAGACAACAAAACTTTCAATCATCTTTGATTGGGTAACATATAAGCAATGTATTGTTTAGTTGCTTGTTTCCCGTCTGTCTTACTCCTTAACAAGAACTTTTGCACGTCGCATGCGACAGAATATGCTGGAATTAACTAAATTAACACCAATCTGTAACCATGTTCTTGCAAATAAATGATTTTATTATTATTATTATTATTTATTATTATCCTTCCATCAGAGACCGAGGGCTAGCACCTGTGTGAAAGGACGTTTTCTCACCTGTCCGACACCTTTAGTTAGAAACCGAGGACTAGCACGTTTTGCTGACCTGTTCACCTTCTTCCATCAGAGGCCGAAGGCTAGCACCTGGGTGGAAGGATGTTTTGCTGACTAGCACCTAGATGGAAGAATGTTTTGTCGACTAGCACCTATGTGGAAGCATGTTTTGTTGACTAGCACCTAGATGGAAGGATGTTTTGCTGACTAGCACCTGGGTGGAAGGATGTTTTGTTGACTAGCACCTGTGTGGAAGGACTAGCACCTGTGTGGAAGGACTAGCACCTAGATGGAAGCATGTTTAGTCACCTGTCCGACGCCCTCCATGAGCGAGGCCACGGTCTCGTCGCTGAGCTCGTGGCTGCGAGCCTTGGCCACCTCTGCGGCGAGCTTGAGGAGGCTAGCACCTGTGTGGAAGGATGTTAGTCACCTGTCCGACCCCTTCTATCAGAGACCAAGAGCTAGCGCCTGAATGGAAGCACATTTTGCTGACTAGCACCTGTGTAGAAGCATGTTTTGTTGACTAGCACCTGTGTGGAAGGACTAGCACCTAGATGGAAGCATGTTTAGTTACCTGTCCGACGCCCTCCATGAGCGAGGCCACAGTCTCGTCGCTCAGCTCGTGGCTGCGAGCCTTGGCCACCTCTGCGGCGAGCTTGAGCGCGCACAGGGACGTGGGATAGCCGCGGGTGCGGATCACCGGCTTGAGGAGAGCTAGCACCTGAGTGGAAATCATTTTGTTATTAACTGTGTAAAACATTAATTACACCACTGAATTGAACCTATAAGGCCCGGTTTTTTGATTCGTAGTTAAAATAACCAATGGTCAAATTTGACAGATGTCAAATGACAAGTGGTTAAGTATCAGAAAAAAATGTTTTTCGAACAATGGTTAGCTTGAATTTTAGTACATTTTTTAACTATTAGTTAACATTTTGTTAATATTTAACCATTAGTAGCAAAATTTAACAATTTGTTATTTTAACTATGAATCAAAAAACTGGGCCTAAGGCTGGTTTTAGTATCGCGCTGACCGCTCGCTGATCTTCGGCGCTGACAGATAAATATGTATGTTATGAGGGTTTTCGCGTATGAAAAATCCACCAGATGGCAATACGTAGACGCAAGGTCCAAATGCTGCATGATTGGTTATTTTTGACATGACATTGACAGATATGTCAAAATCCACCAATCACGCAGCAGTCAGACCCCACATCCACGTCCCGCCATCTAGCGGATCTTTCATATGGGAAAACCCTCATTGAAGGGAACGTTTCTGAGTGACGCTGATCGCTCGGCGCCGACGCTTCATTATCATACATTTCGGCTGTCAGCGCTGACGGTCAGCGTGACTCTAAAACCAGACTCATACATTTCGGCTCTCAGCGCTGACGGTCAGCGTGCGTCAGCGTGACTCTAAAACCAGCCTCATACATTTCGGCTGTCAGCGCTGACGGTCAGTTTGCGTCAGCGTGACTCTAAAACCAGCCCCATACATTTCGGCTGTCAGCGCTGACGGTCAGTTTGCGTCAGCGTGACTCTAAAACCAGCCCCATACATTTCGGCTGTCAGCGTTGACGGTCAGCGTGACTCTAAAACCAGCCTCATACAATTCGGCTGTCAGCGCTGACGGTCAGTGTGACTCTAAAACCAGCCTCATACAATTCGGCTGTCAGCGCTGACGGTCAGCGTGACTCTAAAACCAGCCTAAAATACTATAAAAATTTATTAAGCTTGTTAATTACCTGCTGTGCCGGCAATGCCTGAGCGATGTGCGGCATACCGGCGTCCACTGCTCGCATCACCTGCGGAAAACAATTCAAAATATTACAATGAAAAATCAACAAACCTACAGAGAAATCTATTTTTCATAAAAGATTCGATCTTAAAACCGTCAGTAAGTATCAAACATTAGGCCCAGTTTTTTGATTCATAGTTAAATTAACTAACTGTTAAATTTTGCAACTAATGGTGAAATATTAACAAAATGATAACTAATAGTTAAAAAATGTACTAAAAGTCAAGCTAACCATTGTTCGAAAAACATTTTTTTCTGATATTTGACCACTTGTCATTTGACATCTGTCAAATTTGACTATTGGTTAATTTAACTACGAATCAAAAAACTGGGCCTAAGTGATAGAGCGAAGATTCTCTAACATGGTTCTAACTGGCACAAAATAACTTTTTTTAATGTAGTGTCAACCTGTCCCCATTCTATTTTCGCTCTGTGCGCACTTTATTGTGTCTTGTCCACCGTCTGTCTATGTCCGTCTACTCTATTGTCGAGCTGTCCACAGTCAATGTCGACCTGTCCACAGTCTATGTCGACTTGTCCACACTCTTATGTCAATCTGTATAGTCAATGTCAACCTGTCCACACTTTATGTCGTGTCGTCCTGTCCATTGTCTATATCGACCTGTATACAGTCTACGTCGACTCTCTCTCTTCGTATATGTCACTCTATTGTCGAGCTGTTCCCACTCTATTATCAACCTGTCCACACTATTGTCTTCCTGCCCCCCACACTATTGTCACCCTGTCACCATACTATTGTCACCCTGTCCCCACACAATTGTCACTCTGTCCCCACACTATTGTCACCCTGTCCTGGCTCAATTGTCACCCTGTCCCTTACCTCTTTATTGAGCGCTCCGTATGCGTTGATAAGCTTCAGCAGTATAAGGTCGAAGTAGTCCAGCCACTGGGCGCGCGTCTCGGATCGCCGGCACAGCCAGATTAACACTTTCACTGCCTCCACATATGTATTGAAGACTTGTTTGCACACTTACTGCCCTGTATGATGACCTGTCTATACTCGCTTCTTTCTTGGAGCTTGACGGCTTGTAAAAACCTCTGTTGATAACGTTTTATCTACACTCTTCGCTAATTGTCGCCCTTTCCCACTCTAGTGTCGCTTCTATCATTTTCCACACTCTATTGTCGCTGTGTCCATACACTATCATCGTCCTGTCCTGCTATATTGTCGAACTGTCCCCACTCTATTATTACCCTGTCCAGACTATTGTCACCCTGTCCCCACACTCTGTCACCCTGTCCACACACTACTGTCACCCTGCCCCCCCCCCACTACTGTCACCCTGTCCACACACTAATGTCTCCCTATTCCCACGCTATTGTCACCATGTCCCCACACTAGTGTCATCCTGTCCCCACTATTGTCACCCTGCCCTCACTCAATTGTCACCACTGTTGTCACCCTGTCCCCACTATTGTCTCCCTGTCACCACTATTGTCACCCTGTCTCCACACTATTGTCACTCTGTCCCCACCTTATTGTCACCCTGTCCTCCTTACCTCCTTGTTTAAAGCTCCGTACGCGTTGATAAGCTTCAGCAGTATAAGGTCGAAGTAGTCCAGCCACTGGGCGCGCGTCTCGGATCGGCGGCACAGCCAGATTAACACTTTCACTTACTTCCCTGTAGATGTAGACTTATCTACACTAACTGCTTTATTTCTTCTTCCTTGTCGACCTGTCTACAGTCATCTCCTTCTTGGCATTTGACAGATTGTCAAAACCTCTGTTGATAACGTCTTGTCTACACACTTCGCTGTATTGTCGACCTGTCCCCACTCTATGACAATCTGTCCAGTCTATATTGGCCTTGTCCCCACACTATTGTAACCATGTTACCACTATTATCTCCCTGTCCCCACTATTGTCACTCACTGTTGTCACTTTGACCCCACACTATTGTCACCCTGTGCTCACGCTATTCTCACCCTGTCCCCACGATTGTCACGCTGACACCACACTATTGTCACCCTGTCCCCACACTATTGTCACCCTGTCCTGCCTCATTTGCCACCCTGTCCCCACTATTGTCACCCTGTCCTCACTCATTTGTCACCCTGTCCCCACTACTGTCACCCTGTCCCCACCCTATTGTCACTCTGTCCCTTACCTCCTTGTTTAACGCTCCGTATGCGTTGATAAGCTTCAGCAGTATAAGGTCGAAGTAGTCCAGCCACTGGGCGCGCGTTTCGGATCGGCGGCACAGCCAGATTAACACTTTCACTGCCTCGGCCGCGGCGCGCTCGTTGGCCGTGCCCCAGCCTGGACGGGTTAAGTGGTTAGCCTTTAGTAAAACACGCGAACTTTTACAGTGGTTTAAAAATGAAATCATTTGTTGCATGCTAAGGACAGAAACTAGTGAATGGTACTCAAGGAGAAAGAAAGAATAATTAAATTTCAACAACAAAAAACTACCAGAAGAATTAATTATCAAAATGAGTGTACACTACAACTGTATGGCTTCTTTTCAACGATTTTTAGAAGAAATAGCCTGTTATAGAAACCTTAGTACAAATGAAAGTGAGCTTACAGATAGATCCATGCGCGTATACAGGGTGGAAACGATAAGTGATCTCATTCGATTATTTATAAACTATACAAGCTATCCAAAAACTAGTTACTGATCCTGAAAGTGCTTCACGAGCTCTATCTAACGGTACCAATAATAGGTTACAAAATAAACTGAATCTATCCGAAAATTCAATGTTTCAAGCTTCCATACATTTAGTACTGCCAGTCATGGCACTCATGTTTTGATAATATTATAGCAAGTAAAGCCTAAAACCAATGTTTTTTATGAATAATTTTAAACAAGAATGCAATTTAGAGTTCAATTTAAGTATTTATTACTGAATAAAAAAAAAATAACACTTCTAATATTGTGTAGCTGGCATACATTTAGTATGGAGCCTGAAAACATTGAATTTTCAGAAAGATCCAGTTAATTCTGTAACCTATTACTGATACCGTTTGAAAGAGCTCGTGAAGCACTTTCAGGATCAATAACCAGTTTTTCGATATCTTGTATAGTTTAGAAATAATCGAGTGAGATCACTTATCGTTTCCACCCTGTATAGCGGGGGGCCCAAAATGGTCTGGTGTTGTAACTTGGGGATTTGAATAATGATAGTAGATAGTATCAACTCATGAGCTATGATACTAATCGCAAACCCCGTGACATGGCATGTCCTAGGCCATGATATTCGCTTACCTGAAGACTGCTGTGCGTTGGAAGCGTTCTCAGTGTTCTCCTTGTCGCCCGAACCCTCTTCGATCGTCAGCGCCGCCAGCGCCACCCTGACGATGTTTCTGAAACAATCACAATAATTGAATTTAGGAATTAAATATAAGGTAGGTGTGTAGAAAGGATGATGGATGGAAATGACACCACAAACATAACTGGGTCATTGTCAAATTTTGCGCAGGTAAATGTAACTTAAAATCATATTTTTTTCAAAATAAATATATGCTTAGATATTACTTTTTTCTATGTCCGTGTCCGTTATAACAACTGAATTATTATCTATTACAGTTTGCCGCGATGTTTAACCAATAATTTAAGATTTATTCCAGATTTAATGGATCAGGGTGAAAAAAAATACAACTTTGTTACCATTACGTTTTAGCTTTTATTATGAAATTAAACAAGTCAGTCGCAAATATTTTGGGACTAATATTAAACAGTATTATATCTTTTACATATATTTAGAATCATAACAGTCTTTTTTTAAGTTTAACAATCATCAATCTAAACTCTTAAACAACTCTGTTACTTCTTGAATATTAAAATACCTTAAATTCTACTTAAGTCCTCCAAATATCTATTTATCAGCAGCTAACTGGAACATAATACTGTAAAAATATCTAATAAATTAACGCATCGCGATATTTGCTATATTATATTGACTAGCTTTTCTTTAAAATCTTACTATGTTCTTTAATCTTTGGGACAGAAAAGTAACAGAGTTGTAACACAGTAACATAGTTGTTATTTTTATTGAATAATATGTAATAATTTGCACTTATTGAGCTTGAGATCCAAATCACTTCATCAAAACATTAACTTATGACTGTAATTTATCAATCAAGAGCTTACTTTCTTATAGATTCCTTATCTTTATAGTAATAAAAATTAGATTTTCTTGGAAGAGTAGCTGAAAATTTGAAATAACTTATTTCTCAAGTTTAACTAAGGGATTATAACGTAAACTAATGAAAAAACATTCATTTACTTACGTGAATAGGTAGGTAACAAAGTGGATGCGCAATAAAAACACGCAGCACGTTCAACACCTTGCGGTCGACTGCCGAGCGACTTACCTCTCCTCCCGATCTAACGAACTCCCACGACGAATGCAGACATCCCACCCAAGATTAAACAATATCCAAAATACCGCCATTTCCATTTTGAGTCGTGAATTAGTTAGTAACATAGTGGTCCAGGTGGTTCCAGATAGTACGTGGGACAAAGTTTAGAAAATTATTTAAAAAGTACATTTTATACTGACTGATTTTAAAACATATTTTATTGAATATTTATAATACTCTGTTTACGATGATAATTTATTTTAAGAAGGTTACTATAGTAGAAAATGCAATTATTTGATGTTTATTGTAACGGAATGCTACATGGGACAGGTACAATTTGTAAGGAAAACCTTTCTGTTACCAATAATGACCACTCTGTTACTTTAAAAAAAAATAAAAATATTGAAACTTGAGTCGTTATTCCAATAGTGGATGTTCGCTAATGCGATGTATTTTGTATTTAATACATAATTCGTAAAGGATTTTGACATTATTACTAACAAAAAAATAAAAAATGTTGAGGGACACATTTACCTGCGCAAAATTTGACAATGACCCAACTATTGGAGCCGGGACCATTTTGCAAAAAAGTATGTTTATCTTCGAACACAACCAGATCTGAGGCTGGTGGCCATAGTAAAAGTTGTTCGTCTTGGACTTGGTAAGACCTTTCAAACGACACTAGAAGCATATCTATTGGAGCCGGGTTGTTTTTTGTTATTGTCGACCTGTGTGTCGGTTCGTGAGTCACCCTGTGCGTCCACGCGCACTGTGAAACCTCATAGTAATGTTTGTGAATACGGGCGACAGCCCGCAAGAGTCGCTAAAATCAAATGGCAGTGGGCGGGGCACATAGCTCGCAGAGCTGATGGTCGCTGGGGCAGGAAAGGAGTGGCTACCACGAGCCGGAAGACGTAGTGTGGGCAGGCCTCCCACTAGGTGGACCGACGAACTGGCGAAGGTCGCGGGAGGTGCCTGGATGCGGTCGGCGCAGGACCGGTCTTTGTGGAAATCCTTGTGGTAGGCCTTTGTCCAGCAGTGGATGTTTTTCGGCTGAAACGAACGAACCTGTCTTGTTCATAAAAAAGTACTTACTTGAAATACTCGCAAGGCGCGCGGCAATCTCCATATTTCAAAAGCTCATGTGTGGCCAGCAATAGACGCTCCCATTGTTCAGGCGGCGCTTGCGTCGCGTCAAGCTTGCATAGGGCTTCTAAGACTTCTTGTTCACGGAGGCCCGCTGCGAAAGATGCGTTAAAATTAGGAAAAAACCGGGTAAATACAAGTCGGACTCTCGTTCTGACAGTTCCGTACAAGTTGTAGATATGTATAAAGCCCGGTCTGTGAGCACGTCGAATTTTGTCCAATGACCCCAAGCTACCCATCCTTATCGCTCGCGCGTAATTATATTGCTGTCGCGACTGTGCGACGGGCGCCCGCAGTGAGTGTGCGAGCGCGACAGCGACATAATTACGCGCGAGCGATAAGGATAGGTAGCTTGGGGACATTGGACAAAATTCTACGTGCTCACAGACCAGACTATAAAAGTCTGTCGCCATAATAACAATGTTAACAGCATTGTTGTGTTCCGGTAGTTAGAGGTAAGATAGTCAGTTCCTCCGTGGTTGAGGATTCCGGGTGAAGCTCGCTTCCACCTGCGGCCTGATCGTCACTTACCATCAGGTGAGATACAGGCCAAGAGCTTCCTCGTTGTGGATAAAAAAAGATCGTTTCATAGACTCGGACGCGCCCCACCATTCTTCCGCTAATGTTTGAGTGTTATCGGTCCACGCGAATGCTCCATGAGTGCACACGCACACTACAGTAATGCCTTACGGCTTGCTCGGACCACACTCCCCGCACCCCGCGCGACCGGGACCAAACATTGCTGGGGCAAGGCCGAGTGGATGAAACGATCTATATGTCAACGCGAAATTGTGAACTCCGTCAGTTTATAATATAACGCGTGAGACTGTAAACTAACAGTGGGTTAGGTTAGGTTAGATTGTAATCTAACTACGTCAGATTATAATCTGACGAAATTCACAATGTTACGGTGACATATACAATACATCCTGGTGATAGATAGACAGACGGTGGAGTCTTACGCCTGTATTCCCAAACGATGCTTGATTAAGTGAAGCAGCAAATTGAACGCACAGCGTTGAATGGAGCTCTGTGATTGGTTCGTGTGTCACCCTGTGCGTCCACGCGCACTGTGAGACCTCATAGTAATGTTTGAGAATACGGGCGTTAGTAATAGGGTTAAGTTTGGATTTTAAAGTTTTGATTGACCTTTGGAAGTTTGGATACGGAACCCTAAAAAGGTTTAAATAAGTAGTGATATGTAAATAAGTGCTGAAGTGGCAATGGGCAGGGCACATAGTACGCAGAACTGACGGCTGATGGGGCAGAAAGGTTCTGGAATGGAGGCCGCGTACCGGAAAACGCAGCGTGGGACGTCCACCTACAAGGTGGACCGACGACATCGTAAAGGTAGCAGGGAAGCGCTGGACGCAAGCCGCTACCAATCGATCAACATGGAAAGCATTGGGGGAGGCCTATATTCAGCAGTGGACGTCCTATGGCTGAAATGATGATGATGATGTAATTAACTTACATTTGGTAATAATATATCCATTCTCGTCCGTTTCGTAAGGTTTCATCTTGTCTCTGCCAAGGTGACTTGAATTGAATTCTCTGCGAAAAAAAAACAAAAAATTAATATTGATTTGATATTAATGTTGCAGCGGAGGACGTCCACCCACAAGGTGGACCGACGACCTCGTAAAGGTAGCAGGAAAGCGCTGGATGCAGGCCGCCACCAACCGGCCATTGTGGAATTGGGGGAGGCCTATGTTCACCAGTGGACGTCCTATGGCTGAAACAGGGTTGCCAACAGAGGCGGGGCAAGACCTAAATTTGATGTGGGCAAGACAGATTTCGCGAGGCCTTGTTCTGTGGCGACCTGAAGACGGATTTATATATAATGAAATAATAAAAAAAAAGGGTCAAAGGTCTACCTATACATTGACAGTTTCTGATTTCTTGATTCAGTGATTATTTTTAAAGGAATATTGCGCCAAAGAATAATGTTCGTCACTTAAAACCGTGTTGTTGCTTAATTTTGTGTCTGATTATGGCTGAATTTGTTTGGAAAAAAATATATTTTTATTTTTAACTACATTGTTTAATTATCAAGAATTTATATTTAATAGTCAATGTTCGTATTGTGATATTGTCATCTCCTCCTTGTATACATTTTTTCAAAATTTTTGATGCGCGAGGCCCCTTGTACCGCGAGGCCGTAGGCGGTGGCCCACGTCGCCTACGCCTTACGCCGCCTCTGGTTGCCAACTCTACGTATTTTTACGTAGATCTACGTATTTTAAGCCTTCCTTGCAAACCTACGAACTTTAGTCCCAGAATCTACGTATTTTCTATCAAATTTGCAAAATAGGCTGAATGGGCATTGTTTCCTTTACTTTTGCGAAAAAGTTCGATCATGGTTCCGATCACGGTTATTTGGCATGTGGCAAAAGTCGGAACTAATGTTATTTTGACATTTCCCCATAGAAAAAATGCTGTACAGCGCCCCCCTGTAAATGTCACTGACACTATAAAAATATTTCGAACTAAGATTGTGCTAAGATTTCGAAGATGTTGTTGTATTTCTATATTTTTCAACTTCCTTCCTTCTTTCCAACAAATATAATTATGTATAAATTTAATTTGTCTGAAAATGATACACAATAAAAGTGTACTTTACTACTTTTAGGGTAATATAAATTGTCGTTTTATTACTTTTACCTACCTCTACTCTCTTCATTTCACTCAGAAAAAAAAGTACGTAGATCTACGTATTTTCTATATGGAAATTGTACCATTTCTACGTAATTTTCTAATCTGTCCTACGACTTTTTCAAAATCCGAGTTGGCAACACTGGCTGAAATGATAATGATGATTTGTATTTTCATAGTAATTTCTTAGTGACCAATATATCACACACAAATATCACAAAATATATTGGTCACTTCCAAAAATTTTAGTTATTATGTATAATTGTAGGAATGTAACTAAGTAATTATACAATATTAGGAAATCACTAAGATCTTAAAGTCAAGAAAAAATCATATGATATCGCCTTTTAAAACCGTACAACGCCATCTATGGGTGAGCCACCGAATTACTACGTACTGTCCTACAAGGCCACCCATTGAATACGGAGGGTTGAGGTAAGGAGAACCATCCGTATAAGCTGTAAATAGTTGCAAAACCTTCCAATAGATAGAGCTAGTGTAGGTTTAGGGGTCATATGAAGGTACCGGTTGTTGATGGAATGAAGAATACCGAGTTGTTTGGACCTTAATCCCACGCAATAATGTTGACATTATTCCTTCCATCACCGGGGAACCAGACACAGGTTAGCCTACCATCCCTACATTGTTGACATTCCACCAGCTCGCACTAAGCGTTTCGATGACTCTTTTATAATGAGAACAGCTAGGGACATGAATTCGCTGCCTGCTGCTGTCTTCCCTGAAGACTATAATCCGAGCCTTTGCAAGGCCAGAGTGAATAGGCAGTTACAGGGCAGATATGTACCATCCTAAAGCCCGGTCTGTGAGCACGTAGAATTTTGTCCAATGAACCCAAGCTACCCATCCTTATCGCTCGCGCGTCATTATATTGCTGTCGCGACTGTGCGACGGGCGCCCGCAGTGAGTGTGCGAGCGCGACAGCAACATAATTACGCGCGAGCGATAAGGTTGGGTAGCTTGGGGTCATTGGACGAAATTCTACGTTCTCGGCGACCGGACTTTAGAAATGTTTGCAAACTGTGAATCAAATTGTACGTTAATCCAAGGCAAGAAGGTTGACATTAGCTCACCCGTGCGCGTGAGGGTAGTCAAGCCTCCCTTGAAGTACAAGCGAGCACTTTTTAGTGCTGGGAGCTTCCTTTGAGCTGAAATTTCTCTAGCTCCAATATTTTAAACTGATTTTGGACCTTAATCTCAGGCAATAAGGTTGACATTAGCTCACCCGTGCGCGTGAGGGTAGTCGAGCCTTGCGTGCGGTACAGGCGAAGACTCTTTAGTGCTGGGAGCTTCTTCAGAACTGTCTGCAGAGGCCGCGCGCGCCAGAGCTTCTCTGAGGGTAGATAGACATTATTAGATTAGAACAAGACGAATACAGGGTGTTGCTTTAAAGTTTAGTTCGTGTCACCACTCCCCCACTCTATTGTCTATGAATAGGTTTATGGGACCCTGTTTTGAAAATTTTGAATGACTTAAAAAAAATCGAACCTACGACCTTCCGCTTGCCGGGCGATTGCTCTTCCAACTGAGCTACTTAGACACTGGATGACCCGTCGAAATTTTCAAGTGTTACAGCCAGCGTTATTTTCAGCCAGCCAGGTTGCCAGCGGGTTCGATGCCCGCCTTACGCAGTTCGATTTTAGTTTTATTAGTCCTACTAAGTAATATTATAAATGCGAAAGTTTGGGTGTCTGGATGTTTGTTACTGTTTCACGCAAAAACTACTGAACGGATTTTGATGAAACTTTACAGTATTATTGTTTATAACACAGAATAACATTACAGGCTATAATTTATGACGACCTGTGACAGACTAAATTTCACGCGGGTGAAGCCGCGGACAAAAGCTAGTATTTTTTTTTTTATATTTCACAAGTACATAATCTTACGTAAACACGATCGTCGTCGAGTCATGTCCCTGCAGTGGAGACTAAATGACCTGGTAATGATATTTCTTTCTTTTTCCATACATCCCTTCTTTTTTAAAGAGTGTAAAAGTAACTTACGCGTTATAATGCCCGTTGGGGACGCCATTGTGGCCGCGGTTGGACAGCGTGACGTCAGACATCTGGCTGATGCCCGAGTCCTTGCTCGACATATGATTGCCGCACTCCGCTGAAACAAGACAAGTAAGGTTGAGACTTGAACAAATGAGGGTTTTCGCGAATGAAAGATCCGCTAGATGGCGGGACGTGGATGTGGGGTCTGACTGTTGCGTGATTGGTGGATTTTGACATATCTGTTAGGTAGGTCCAACTTCGAGAAAGAGGTCAATCGTCGAATCCAACTCGGATGGGCAGCGTTCGGGATGCTTCGCCATATACTCACGTCCGAAATACCGCAGTGTCTCAAGTCGAAAGTATTTGACCAATGTGTGTTGCCAGTGATGGTATACGGATCTGAGACGTGGTCGCTTACTATGGGCCTCATCTGTCAATTTCATGTCAAAAATAACCAATCATGCAGCATTTGGACCTCGCGTCTACGTATTGCCGTCTGGCGGATTTTTCATTCGCGAAAACCCTCATTGGCTAAGTTCGTTTCAGCCAAATGACGTCCACTGCTGGATAAAGGCCTCCCCCAAGGATTCCCATTCCTGCGCTGTCCGCATCACGACCTTCACCGGATCGTCGGTCCACCTAGTGGGAGGCCTGCCCAGTGCCCACGCTACGTCTTTCGGCCCGTGGTTGGCCACTCGAGAACTTTTCTGCCCCAGCGGCTATGGTTCCTACGAGTTATGTGCCCCGCCCACTGCCACTTGATTTTAGTGAATTTGCAGGCTATGTCGGTCACTTTCATCATCAACAGCCGTTTACAGTCCGCTGCTGAACTATGAGCCTCCTCCACTATAGTGGAGGGTTTTGCCATAATCCCCACGCTTGGCAGGCGGGTTGGAGATCGCATTTTAAAAGATTGATGTTTGTCAGAGAGCGCTGCTGTCCTTTCTCTGTTTGATGTGTAGTCCCTAAGTCGCCTCTTACGACACCCGCGGGAAGAGTAGGGGTTGGTGACAAATGTATACTATTCTGCCGTCACCACACGGCCACTTTAGGTCTCCTCATTTTTGATTCGATCACGCAGAGAAACTCCAAGTGGTGTATCCACGTACAACGTCATTATGCCGAGTTGCTGTGCTGCTGTGTCGCTGCTGGACGGATGTGGATGCGGTTAAATAAATAAATAAAGTTCTTTGTTGCCTTTAAAGCCCGGTCGCCGAGCACGTAGAATTTCGTCCAACGACCCCAAGCTACCCATCCTTTTCACTCGCGCGTAATTAAATCGCGACTGTGTGACGGGCGGCCGCAGTGAGTGTGCGAACTTGGGGTCAATGGACGAAATTCTACGTGCTCAGCGACCGAACTTTAGATGAATATTTTATGATGCGGTTGTGCTCACCATTAGCATGCTGCGCGGTATAGGTGTGTATCTTGCTGGTGGTCTTCCAACGTGACACGAGTGACGAGGCAACGGGACACGAGTGACATGGCACGGTGACACGAGTGACGAGGCAACGTGGAACGAGTGACGAGGCAACGTGACACGAGTGACGAGGCAACGGGACACGAGTGACGAGGCAACGTGGAACGAGTGACGAGGCAACGTGACGCGAGTGACGAGGCTACGTGACACGAGTGACGAGGCAACGGGACACGAGTGACATGGCACGGTGACACGAGTGACGAGGCAACGTGGAACGAGTGACGAGGCAACGTGACACGAGTGACGAGGCAACGGGACACGAGTGACGAGGCAACGTGGAACGAGTGACGAGGCAACGTGACGCGAGTGACGAGGCTACGTGACACGAGTGACGAGGCAACGTGACACGAGTGACGAGGCAACGTGACACGAGTGACGAGGCAACGTGACGCGAGTGACGAGGCAACGGGACACGAGTGACGAGGCAACGTGACACGAGTGACGAGGCAACGTGACACGTGTGACGAGGCAACGTGACACGAGTGACGAGGCACGGTGACACGAGTGACGAGGCAACGTGACACGAGTGACGAGGCACTGTGACACGAGTGACGAGGCAACGTGACACGAGTGACGAGGCAACGTGACACGAGTGACGAGGCAACGTGACACGAGTAACGAGGCAATGTGACACGAGTGACGAGGCTACGTGACGCGAGTGACGAGGCTACGTGACACGAGTGACGAAGCAACGTGACACGAGTGACGAAGCAACATGACACGAGTGACGAGGCAACGTGGAACGAGTGACGAGGCAACGTGACACGAGTGACGAGGCTACGTGACACGAGTGACGAGGCTACGTGACACGAGTGACGAGGCAACGTGACACGAATGACGAGGCAAAGTGTCACGAGTAACGAGGCAACGTGACACGAGTGACGAGGCACGGTGACGAGGCTACGCGACACGAGTGACGAGGCAACGTGACACGAGTGACGAGGCAACGTGACACTAGTGACGAGGCAACGTGACACGAGTGACGAGGCACGTGACAGGAGTGACGAAGCAATATGACACGAGTGACGAGGCGACGTGACACGAGTGACGAGGCAACGTGGAACGAGTAACGAGGCAACGTGACACGAGTGACGAGGCAACGTGACACGAGTGACGAGGCAACGTGACACGAGTGACGAGGCAACGTGACACGAGTGACGAGGCACTGTGACACGAGTGACGAGGCAACGTGACACGAGTGACGAGGCAACGTGACACGAGTGACGAGGCAACGTGACACGAGTGACGAGGCAACGTGACACGAGTGACGAGGCAACGTGACACGAGTGACGAGGCAACGTGACACGAGTGACGAGGCAACGTGACACGAGTGACGAGGCAACGTGACACGAGTGACGAGGCAACGTGACACGAGTGACGAGGCAACGTGACACGAGTGACGAGGCAACGTGACACGAGTGACGAGGCAACGTGACACGAGTGACGAGGCAACGTGACACGAGTGACGAGGCAACGTGACACGAGTGACGAGGCAACGTGACACGAGTGACGAGGCAACGTGACACGAGTGACGAGGCAACGTGACACGAGTGACGAGGCAACGTGACACGAGTGACGAGGCAACGTGACACGAGTGACGAGGCAACGTGACACGAGTGACGAGGCAACGTGACACGAGTGACGAGGCAACGTGACACGAGTGACGAGGCAACGTGACACGAGTGACGAGGCAACGTGACACGAGTGACGAGGCAACGTGACACGAGTGACGAGGCAACGTGACACGAGTGACGAGGCAACGTGACACGAGTGACGAGGCAACGTGACACGAGTGACGAGGCAACGTGACACGAGTGACGAGGCAACGTGACACGAGTGACGAGGCAACGTGACACGAGTGACGAGGCAACGTGACACGAGTGACGAGGCAACGTGACACGAGTGACGAGGCAACGTGACACGAGTGACGAGGCAACGTGACACGAGTGACGAGGCAACGTGACACGAGTGACGAGGCAACGTGACACGAGTGACGAGGCAACGTGACACGAGTGACGAGGCAACGTGACACGAGTGACGAGGCAACGTGACACGAGTGACGAGGCAACGTGACACGAGTGACGAGGCAACGTGACACGAGTGACGAGGCAACGTGACACGAGTGACGAGGCAACGTGACACGAGTGACGAGGCAACGTGACACGAGTGACGAGGCAACGTGACACGAGTGACGAGGCAACGTGACACGAGTGACGAGGCAACGTGACACGAGTGACGAGGCAACGTGACACGAGTGACGAGGCAACGTGACACGAGTGACGAGGCAACGTGACACGAGTGACGAGGCAACGTGACACGTGTGACGAGGCAACGTGACACGAGTGACGAGGCAACGTGACACGAGTGACGAGGCAACGTGACACAAGTGACGAGGCAACGTGACACGAGTGACGAGGCAACGTGACACGTGTGACGAGGCAACGTGACACGAGTGACGAGGCAACGTGACACTCAACGGTTAAAAATGTTCACTTACCATTAGCATGTTGCGCGGTGTAGGTGTGAATCTCGCTGGTGGTCTTCCGTATCCGCGAGTACACGTCTTCAGCCGCGCCCGAGTTGCTAGTGCTACTGACGGTACGCAGCGGGCTGTCGCTGCCAGCTGGACAGATATTGATAAGGTTAAAGTTAAATATCTATATATATAAAAGAAAGTCGTGTTAGTTACTCCACTTATAACTCAAGAACGGCTGAACCGATTTAGCTGAAAATTGACAGGGAGGTAGTTTAGAGCCAGGAGAAGGACATAGGATACTTTTTATCCCGTTCGAAGTTAAAAAAAAAGTCTGCTTATTTATTGCCATTAAGGCGGAACAAAGTTCGCCGGGTCAGCTAGTTTTTTATAAAAATAAAGACATTTTCGACTTCTTCCAGTGTTTCTCTTTGCTTTTCGTTTCTTATTTGTCTTATGCTTCTTTTTGATTTGCTATGTTCGTAGTATATTTCTTTTATGACATCTAAAATAACAGACATCTTTGCAAACATCTTTGACATATTCTGTCTATCTCGCTTTCACGACTTAAACAACTGAAGCGATTTTGATGAAATTTGGCATAGAAATTTAGTCCCGGGAAAGGACATAGGATAGTTTTTATCCCGGTTTTTGAAACAGGGACGCGCGCGATAGTTTTTCTGTGACAGACAAAATTCTACGCGGGCGAAGCCGCAGGCGGAAAGCTAGTGTTTGCATAATCAAATGTAACAAGTTCCAAGTCATAGGTACACCTATAATGACGAATAGGCCCGGTTCCCACCAAGGTTTGTTAGTTAGCAAGGTCCTGGTTATTCAAAACGCTTCTCCGCTCCGTTTTGGTGGCAACCGGGCCATAGGCTGAAATGATAATGCCTCCCCAACCCATCTGGCTAGCGTGGGGAGTGTATTTATGGTTTAGAGTTTAAAAAAGCTAGCTCTATGTCTATGGTCTCTCTGTGGAAAAATGGCCGACTGAAAAGTTTTGTTTTGATGTGCTCCGTTGTAATAATTATATTTTGCATGTGTAAGATTGCAATAAACAAGCAAGTTGAAGATAATCATGGCGCTTTATTAAAAGAACCCCATAACAACAATAGAAAGAAACTTTTATTATGATGAACATCACTTAGTAAGGACAGAGAACCTATACAGAAAAAAAAGACAGAAATAGCACATAAATATTACAAGGAAATAAAAAGTGAACTGAGCAGTGCTATCCTGTCGCAACAGCGATGCCCATCAAAATCAAAATATTTATTCAGTTTAGACCACAAGTGGCACTTATGTTCTAATCATCGCAATGGGACCCCACTCAGCATATGCCGTGGCCCACGGTGGGGTAGGCCACGACACTGGTTTTCAGTGGGCCCCATGCCTCTATATTAGAGTCGTGCTCCTGGAGTGGATACTAAATGGTCTGATGATGATGATAAGTGTACTTACTGCTGGAAGTCCTTCTGACGTGTTGTTGAACGACTCCGTTCACCATCGCTTGGGTTTCCGCGGGTAGTTCGCTCATTAGCGCCGTGAACTGGAACAAACATTATAGATAATAAATATATTATTACGTTGATATTTCGTAATGTCACGATACATTTCATAACAAACAGCATCCCATACTAGTTGTTGCGGGTGTGTGATGTGACGTCACACTCAGCTGAGTGTGGAGTACCTGGAATTGGCTAATCCCATACAATGTTTCGATCAAACTCCTCCTATGTTCTTCTGATTAATTTGGTTGCGGGTCCAATGACAGTTTAACTTTCCCCCGGGACAAACTTGACCTTCACTGGTTGGGTTGTTGCAAGTTGTAGATCCTGGCAACACAGGAGTTGCAGCGGTGGGAACGAGAGGGAATATCATCATCATCATCATTTCACCCATAGGACGTCCACTGCTGAACATACTCCCACAATGCTTTGATCGATTGGTAGCGGCCTGCGTGCAGCGTTTCCCTGCTATCTTTATGATGTCGTCGGTCCACCTTGTGGGTGGACGTCCCACGCTGCGTTTTCCGGTACGCGGCCTCCACTCCAGAACCTTGCTGCCCCATCGGCCGTTAGTTCTGCGTAGGACCGACGAACTGATAAAGGTAGCAGGAAGGCGCTGGATGCAGGCCGCTACCAACCGTGCGATATGGAAGTCATTGGGGGAGGCCTATGTTCAGCAGTGGACGTCCTGTGGCTGAAATGACGATGATGATGATGTCTCTTGTCACATGTCTTACCGGCACGGGGTTGCAGTCATATAGGCACGCGAGCGCGCGTCTTGCGGCTGCCCTAACGTCACCGGCTCGCGGGTCACTCGCCAGTAAGGACACTTTGACCAGGGCGCGGCCTGCTACGCCTGTCGCGCCACCTGTCTCTCCTGTCACAGCTGTCACGCCATCTATCTCCTGTCACGCCACTTGTCTCTTCTGTCACGCTACCTGTCTCTCCCGTCACGCCACCTGTCTCTCCACATATCTCCTTTCACGCCGCTTGTCTCTCCTGTCACGCCACTTGTTTCTCCTGTAACGCCACCTGTCTCTCCTGTCACGCCACCTGTCACTCTTGTCACGCCACATGTCTCCCGTCACGCCACCTGTCTCGCCTGTCACGCCACCTGTCTCCTGTCACGCCACCTGTCTCGCCTGTCACGCCACCTGTCTCCTGTCACGCCACCTGTCTCCTGTCACGCCACCTGTCACTGTCACATGTCTCACCGGCACGGGGTTGCAGTCATAAAGGCACGAGAGCGCGCGTCTCGCGGCCGCTCTGACGTCACCGGCGCGCGGATCGCTCGCCAGCAAGGACACTTTGACCAGGGCGCGGTACGCCTGTCGCGCCACCTGTCTCTCCTGTCACGCCATCTGTCTCCTGTTACGCCACTTGTCTCTTCTGTCACGCTATCTGTCTCTCCTGTCACAGCTGTCACGCCATCTGTCTCCTGTCACGCCACTTCTCTCCTGTCACGCCATCTCTCTCCTGTCACGCCACGTCTCTCCTGTCACGCCACCTCTCTCGTGTCACGCCACTTGTCTCTCCTGTCACGCCACATGTCTCTATTGTCACTCCACCTGTCTCCTATTACGCCACCTGTCTCTCCTGTCACGCTACCTGTCTCTCCCGTCACGCTACCTGTCACTGTCACATGTCTCACCGGCACGGGATTGCAGTCATAAAGGCACGCGAGCGCGCGTCTTGCGGCCGCTCTGACGTCACTGGCGCGCGGGTCGCTCGCCAGTAACGACACTTTGACCAGGGCGCGTCCTGCTACGCCTGTCGCGCCACCTGTCTCTCCTGTCACAGCTGTCACGCCACCTGTCTCTTATCACAGCTGTCACGCCACCTGTCTCTTATCACAGTTGTCACGCCACCTGTCTCTTATCACAGCTGTCACGCCACCTGTCTCCCGTCACGCCACCTGTCTCTGTCACATGTCTTACCGGCACGGGGTTGCAGTCATAAAGGCACGCGAGCGCGCGTCTTGCGGCCGCTCTGACGTCACCGGCGCGCGGGTCGCTCGCCAGCAAGGACACTTTGACCAGAGCGCGGCCCGCTACGCCTGTCGCGCCACCTGTGGACAAACAAGACAAAATTATTACTTTTAAACTTTTCCCCGGGACAAACGTGAGCTTCGCTGGTAGGGTTTTTATGGCGGTCAAGCTGTAGATCTGAACTATCCAGGAGTTGTAGCAGTCGAAATAATTCCTTTATTTTTTTGCAATCTTTTGGTTTCAGCCGAATGACTTTCGGTATCACAGAAAGACAAGTCTTTTAGAGCTTCAAAGTATCTAGAGACTAAAATTTAATGGTATAAGCGTGAAAAGGTGACACAAAGTTACATTCACATTCAGTCTCCACTGCAAAAGCATGACCCTTTAATTACGGGAGACGAATGGAGGAAGACCTACATTTTACACGCTAGGCAGACGAGCTGGGGAGGCCTGGCGTTTGAATATTTATATCTTAGTCGCCTTTCCCGTAGTAAGAGTAGAAGCAGGCCTGTTCATCTCCGCGATTTTACATCGAAAACAAAACACGCACGATGGCCCACCTACAGGATACTATTCGACAAGGCCTCACATACGAGCGAACATTGACTCACGCACGCGTATTCTTGTGTATGATGGAAGAAAATAAAGAAAAAAGTATACTAAATACTGTGCAGTATTTAACTGCCTAAATAATAATAAAAACACAGAATGTACTTTTTTAAGTTGCCTCAAGACACTGAGAGGTAAATAAGTAGTTAATATTATTTATGATAATTCATACTAAATCATGTATTTCCTCCGCCATTTTCCGCAGTTTGGCACCTCACGTCACATCATTTTACCGAAGTCAGCCCTATAGCTTCGGCGCAGTGCCGATCACTGACGTTTGTCAACAAAATGGTGCTTGACTCTTGAGACAGGCTAAATTACACCATATTGTTTATGACATTGAGCATACATTTTTTTAAATACCTTCGTGAAGTAAAACTTCTGTACTGTGGTATTATTATGTGGTACTACCCGCTGAAAACCAGCGTGGGGGCACGCGTGACTCGATTAATGCTGAGCGGGCGCCTTTTTGGCACAAAAATATGCATGTATAGTTTTAAGTCCCTTTGTTCTGTTTTTTATTTTCTTTTTGTGTCAAATAAAGTTTTTCTTTCTTATTCTTACTATTTTTCTAAAAACACCTTCATTTCACAACAAAATCAGTAGCGAACTTACCATGTAGCGCCACCGCTAAGCTATTGGGCGTGCAGTAATCGTGCGCCAAGTCAGCCAGGAATCGAAGCGCGGCCACCTTGGTTTTCGTGGTCGGGGCCGTTGCGCCATCTGCTAGGAACCTGGAGAAAAGTGGTAGTTTAGGAGTTTCCTTCTTGAATATAGTACTATACAGAGTGTCTCATAAATAGTGTTAAGCCAAAACCCAGAGGTAGTCTGGTCGCCGAGCACGTAGAATTTCTTCCAATGACCCCAAGCGTCCCATCCTTATTGCTTGAGCGTAATTATATTGCTGTCGCGACTGTGCGACGGGTGGCCACAGTGAGTGTGTGAGCGCGACAGCAACAAATTACGCGCGAGCGATAAGGATGGGTAGCTTGGGGTCATTGGACAAAATTCTACGTGCTCGGAGACCGGACTTTAGTCGAATCACCTCTGTGTATATTCAGTGATTTTTAAAAAAGATGCAAGGAGAACAGAAATTGTAACCTGAAAGAGCAACATACAAAAAAAACTTTGGAGTTTTTCTTCAATTCTTATGGGACCGTATTGCTATCGGAATTTATTGTAATGAACCTTAATAAAATACACGTGACGTCAAACGTCTCTTTTTCAAAATTTTTTAACTTTTGGTTCAAAACATTTATGCGTTTCCATACAACCTGTATAGAATAACAGTGTTTTGAAAGCTGATAAAAAGTATGTCTGGAGATGTCATTTTACACTTATAAGCCACACAATCACAAACCCCATTTTTGTCTGAATACCCGCAAAATACTGAAGACTCACCTGAATATATTGTGTAGCTGTAATTCAGCCGGGAAGCACTCGTGTATGACGTCCAATGTCTTCATGATCTTGCTTTGGACTGAGCCCAAAATGTCCGTGCCGAGTTTCATGAGCAATCTGTTGACAAAACCAATTTATACTAATTAGAAATTGCTATAATCTACCTTTGTGTCTATGGGGTCCGAGAAAAAATTGATGATATTCGCGTGAGACAGAATCGAGTACATTCCAAGGGGCATAACATACATACAGGGTGGAGACGATAAGTGATCTCACTCGATTCGAGATCACTTATCGTTTCCACCCTGTATACAGTTATTTAATTATATTTTTAGCGTTAAGAGTCGCATATCAAACTAATTTGAAAATAACTTGAAAAAATCGAACTGCCTAAGGCGGGAATTGAACCCACGATTCATTACGCAATTCGATACACAATTCCCGCCTTAGGCAGTTCGATTTTTTCAAGTTATTTATAATTTTCATACATATACAGTCACATAATATTAAAAACTACACAAGACATCATAAAACCAGTTACTGGTCCTGAAAGTGCTTCATGAGATCTATCAATCGGTTCTTACCTAAACACCAGCTGGTATAGCCAGTCTTTAAGCTGCTGCCAATGTACCAGCAGTAATTCGCACAACTAGGTAGGTGGATAGAAGTACATACATATTTTATATTAGGACTAGGCCAGCGTGTCTGCCAAAATCTACCTTAATGTCTATGGGTTCCGTGAAAAATTTGGCGATTTCTGCGTGAATCCAGAACATTCTAGTTTAGAAGACTCCATAGGATCACCAAGTCACGATTGACTATTGACCACCTACATGGTTAAAGATTTGAACTTCTTCAGGCCTATTTATTTATTTATTTATTTAAAGACTTTATTGCACACACAACAATGTTCAGTACAAAAAGGCGAGCTTAATGCCATAAGTCATTCTCTACCAGCTGACCTTGAGCAAAACAGAGATATTGAGTAGGCGGTGCTAAAAAGCTACAAAAATGTACACAATATAATAAATAAAATATTATAATATATATACATAAATACATACATATAATTTATATAAAATGGATGACGAGAGGTAAGGGAGGATAGGAGAGGATAAGGGAGAAAAGGAGAGAATAAGGGAGATTAAGACGACTTGATGCGTTCAAGAAAATGTTTGCGCACAGAGTGTTTGAAAACAAACTTACTAGGAGCCTGCCTGATGTTCTCGGGAAGAGCGTTCCAAAGGCGAATGGAATTGAGGAGAAATGAATTAGAGAGGAAACCAGTGCGGTGGGAAGGAGTGGAGAGAAGGAGCGTGTTGGACGAACGAAGTTGACGTGCGTGCGTCGAACTCAGAAGTTCAAACTGTGTTTTCAAGTAGGAAGGGGAGTTAGGGTCATTTAAGATGGTGAAAAGGGTGGTAAGGATTCTAACATTGCGCCGTGCAGGGACAGGTAGCCAATGGAGCTCAGACCGGTGGGAAGAGACATGGTCATATTTGCGAAGACAAAATATGAACCGGATGCAATTGTTCAGAAGGCGGTCAAGTTTGTTGAGGAGAACTTGATTAAGGTCCGGATAACACACATCAGCATAATCGATGACCGGAAGAATAAGAGCGTGGACAAACGAAATCTTTGTTTTAACAGGGAGAAAATACTTCAATCTCCAAAGAGAGCGCAGTGTGGCGGTGACCCTTCGACTAACCTCGGAAACATGTGTCGTCCAGCTGAGAGTAGAATCGAGATATATGTAGTCAGGGTAAAAAACTTCGTCACCGCGATTCAGGACACCACTGTAACTGGAACTCTCGCTAAAGAGCCGCTCTATACAAACGGAGGGTCTTGCTATACTGGTCTTACCTGAACACCAACTGGTATAGCCAGTCTTTAAGCTGCTGCCAATGTACCAGCAGCAACTCGCACACAGCATCCAGTAGTAGTGAGAACACTTTCGTGTGCGCGTCCACAAACATTTTGTTGAGGAGTTCTGTGAGTCGCTTCAACTGCTCGTCGGTTAGGAGGCGACCGCTGTTTAGGTAGTTGGCCTGTGGAAAAAAAATGTTGATATATGTAGTTTGGGGGAGAAGGCAAAAGAATTGCAATGGGACTTGTACAGTCGCCGTCAGATACATTGGAGCAGACAAACAGACCAAATAAGTATTTCTGAACAGTTTAAAGTGTCAATAAGTTCCATACCTACACTACAAATTACCAATAATATCTGAACATTCATTACTTCATTAATATCTGAGCAGATGCTAGTCAATAACTTCTATACACACAACTAATCAATAATATCTGACACTCATAACGTCACTTATTTGCCAGAGTATGATAAGACCAACCCTACTCTTATTGCGAGTGTCGTAAGAGGCGAATACGGGACCAATTTGCGAACATCAGGCCTCCACAGCCTGGTCGGGTCGGCTATACGCAGACGACTCGCTCCAGCTATGTGATCGGATCGCCTACGCTCCAGCTATGTGTTGTAGAGGTGGCATGACACTTACCAAGTGTGTGAGGCCATCCTTCCTCTCAGTCCAGAGCGTAAACAAGCACAAAGTGCGATTATGTTATAGGAGGCGACTCGTGCTCCTGCAGGAAAGACTAATGCCCGTTTTCACCATCAATCCCTAATTTTTAAGTGATTCCTATGTCAACAATTCTTGTTATTTGTCAACTTAAAAATTAGGGATTGATGGTGAAAACGGGCATAAATAACCTAATGTTATACTACCTCAAAATTCTTACTAATTGTGTAACGCCATCCTTCTTTTTAGTCCAGTGCGTGCATCCCGGTAGATGTCGTAAAATAACACTAAGGGGAAACGATCTGAAGGGCAGTGTGGGCCAAATTCACCTCTGGTATATGAGGGTTGTATTCCTAATGCTATAATGTTCTTACCAAGTGTTGAAGGCCATCTTTCCTCTCCGGACCGGAGCCGGACCATGACACGCTGGGCTATAGTCGCCTTGATAGCTTGACCATTCTACTATATGTAGTCAGTCACACAAATGAGAGGTCTAGGTCGACTTGAGGATGATGAGGTTGTCACAAGGATCTTCCCAGACGCTTGAAGTCATTATCTACCGCAAACCTTCCTTGAAGCGACTAAAGGACAAAATCCTCCCCAATGGTCAAATTCTCCATTGTTAGTCATTAGTCAGTAAATTGTCAAAAGCGACCAAGAGAGGGTTGTGTTCCTTTAGTGAAGACTTAGATAACCTGCAGTAAAGAGTAAGTACTGATGATACATTGTGACAAGAGTCCCAGGAACTTACCAAGAGTGTAAGGCTACCGTTTCTCTCGGTCTAGTACGTAAATGCCATTTTTCTGGATGTGCTCCTGCAATGGAGACTAAATGACCTGATGATGATATGCTGTGTTGGAAAAAGAGGTGGTATGATACTCACAAAGTGTGCGAGGCCAGCCTTCCTCTCGATCCAAAACATGCACCATACTCTTCCCGTGGATGTCATAAAAGGCATAAGAAAGGTGGAATGACACAGCTAAGGTTCTTACCAAGTGTGTGAGGCCATCCTTCCTCTCGGTCCAGTGCGTGCAGGCACATAGTTCAATAATATCATCCGGCGGGGGCGGCGGCGGCGGGGAGCCGCACTCCCAGCCGAGTCGGCTAGCTGAGCCGGACCATGACACGCTCTGGGAGGAAGAAAAAAGAACATTTATTATTTGAAGAAGACAATTCTGTATAATTTAAAGCAAAATTCATTTATTTTGCAAGTAGTTTAAAAAGTTATTTTACACATTCCAGTATTACTTTAATCCTACCACTGCTTCGGAAAAATAGATCAGATCGGGCCGGTGCTGAAAAGAAGCAGCACAAGAAACTCAGCTCTGTCTGGATTTATATAGACGGTCAAGCTGTAGATCCTGGCGACACTAGAATTGCAGCGGTGGGAACGAGAGGTGGGCAGTCCCCTTTCTTTTTCTGTCACTTGTGACCACAGATTTATCAGTATCAGACTCAATCAAACGTGACGGTTTAGCGTGAAGAAGCTTTACTAGAGATCTGATAACGGCTCCAGCTTAACTATATTCATGATTGCGTTGATGGTGAGTTCCTCACAATCGGCTTAAAGTAAAGAAAAAACCTTTATATGATTCTGTTTCCTTCAGACCTGACCTAAATTTTTACCACTTATTTCTAAAGAATACTTATCATTATAACTCACATCATGCCTCCTGTAGGAGTCCAGACTCCTCTCCGAGCAGACGCTGGAAGCTTCAGAGTCGTCGTCCCTGCCGCGGCCGCCGTCGCACGCCGAACTGTCTTCGGGGCTCTGCGGAATGTTAAAATTGAGTTTAAAAGTTATTCAGAATTAAATAGAAATCAGGGCTACTCCCGTACCTCCATTTATGTAGTTTAGGGTCATCCGTCACTATCACATGCTGGCACTTCGCTTTGCAAGAGAGGGATGGAAGCATTGGAAACTACGAATAAAGTTATTGAGAGTAGCCCCGTAAGTCATATCATGCTTATGAGTATGATACTCCTCGCTCAGTTTAGCTAAGAGCATGACAGGTTTATTTCATTACATTTTAAATTAGCTACACCTGCGCGAAGAGAATGTAACTGATCCGAACGCGCTGTAGGAGCGACCCGTCTACGTTTAGTCGACCCGACCACGCTGCTGGAGCGACCCGTCTACGTATAGCCGACCGTCCTGAGTGACGTCACCGTCACCTCTATTGATGACTTACCCTCAGCGTTCCTTTCGCGTCCCTCTTCTGTCACAGCAGCCGCAGCGTGGCATCAACCGCTTCGCGTCTGCATATAGCCGACCCGACCACGCTGCCGGAGCGACCGTCCTGTGTGACGACGCCTCTATATACGACTTACCCTCAGCGTTCCCTCCGCGTCCCTCGTCTGCTGCACAGCAGCTCGACCCGACCACGCTGCTGGAGCGACCCGTCTGCGTATAGCCGACCCGACCAAGCTGCTGGAGCGACCCGTCTGCTTATAGCCGACCCGACCAAACTGCTGGAGCGACCCGTCTGCTTATAGCCGACCCGACCAAACTGCTGGAGCGACCCGTCTGCTTATAGTCGACCCGACCAAACTGCTGGACCGACCGTCACCTCTATTGACGACTTACCCTCAGCGTTCCTCGTCTGGCGCAGCAGGCGCAGCGTGGCATCGACTCACTCCCGTGTAAGTATAGCCGACCCGACCACGCTGCTGGAGCGACCCGTCTGCTTATAGCCTACCCGAGGACGCTGCTGGACCGACCGTCCCGTGTGACGGTTTACCCTCAGCGGGCCTCAGCGTCCTTCGTCTGTCGCAGCAGCCGCAGCGTGGCATCGACCGCCTCACGTGTAAGTATAGCCGACCCGACCACGCTGCCGGAGCGACCGTCCTGTGTGACGACGCCTCTATATACGACTTACCCTCAGCGCTCCCTCCGCGTTTCTCGTCTTGGAGCGACCCATCTGCGTATAGCCGACCCGACCACGCTGCTGGACCGACCGTCCTGTGTGACGACTTACCCTCAGCGTTCCCTCTGCATCCCTAGTTTGTCGCAGCAGCCGCAGCGTGGCGGTGGGCGCGCGGGAGGGCGCGGTCCTCTCGACCGACTCGCGTCTGCGGATGGCCGACCCGACCACGCTGCTGGACCGACCCGTTCTGTAGCAAATATTGTTATTAGACATCGTACACTACAATCCACCTACAAGGTAGATAGATGACTTTTGCTGTAAGGAACTGGATGCAGACTGTTACCAATCAGTCAATCTTGGAATCATTGAAGACCTATGTTTAGCAGTGGATGTCCTTTAGCAAAAATCATCATTAGATAATAATCAGGAAGCGGCGGTTGCAGGTTTACATCCTAGATGTATTAGCGCTCAACATTTATCGCTCGTCAAGTAAGATTTTGCCACCAAAGAGCTGGTCAAACTGGTGAGCGCAAATAAAATGATGTCAACAACCTTAAAGCACACTTTTCTACAACAAAAAAACTAAATATATTTTCATTACATTTACAGGCTTCTGATTGCTAGAACTTAATATTTAGAGCAATCAAAGACTGGGATTGATTCCAGTTGTGTGTGCTGTTCTATAATAAAGACTGTATGAACCAGCGTTGCCAGACGTCCCGATTTTGGCGGGACGTCCCGATTTTTAAATAAAATTTATATGTCCCGCGCGGGACAGACTCGGTCCCGCTTTTCGGAGAGAGACATTCACTTCACCAGACTATTGTTTGAAACGCCATATTATTCTAAAGATTTTTTTTTATTTCGATTTTGGTTTATTTTTTCTTTTTTTATTCTAAAGACGAATTTAACGATAGAGTAAATCTGATTTAAAATATTATGTTTTTGTTAAAATACATTTTCTATGGCTACTTTGGCTATCTATTGTCACGTAAACGTAATTTTAAGTCAAATAAAAAGATCAATATTTGAAAACCTCTGATTGTATACGTTTTTTTACTATGTCCCGCTTTTGACGGAAGAATCCCGCTATTTTCACTCAAAAAGTACCAAGTCCCGACTTGGCGAAAAAAAAACTGGCAACGCTGGTATGAACTGACCTGGTAGGACTGGTCTCCCTGGAACCCGCTAGAGACCGGGGAATGCCCGAGGGCCGTCTGCGCGCGCTGGCCAGAGACATGGGGCCGCTGCTACGAGACGAAGGCGACGATGACCTGGACGTAGCTGGTGATTGGAAAGAACATTGGTTAGTCTTTGTGTTAGGTTAATTTTAGGCTGGCTTGCACCATCTTAGGCACAGAACAGATGGTGAAACGAAACTGCAACTTTCTGATGATTCTTATGAATGAAACTGAAACTGAAAGTTTCAAACTGGTCGCGTCATGTGTGGTCTCTCAACGGACGCTATGGCAGAAACTTAGATGCAACTCAAAAGTAAATAGCAGTTGCAGTTTCGTTGCAGTTGCGTTTCACCGTCTGTTCTGTGCCTTACTTTTAACTGTAACAAATGTCAAGTCTGTCAAACTCAGAAAGTAAGGATGAAGAAGTAAGGTGGTGAAACCAGTCATAAAGTAATATAGATGACCCACGCTGAACTGTCCCACCAAACTCAATGACAGGGGGCGCTACCATGGCAAAAATTGGAACCAGCGATCCGGTATTGACGGTGGCGCCCCACTGTCAATGTCATGCATAGGACAGTTCAGTATTTTGGAACTACACAGATATTTAAGTGACAGTCACAGAGGCACAGATTATTGTCCGATTTTTTACTTAAGAGATTAATATATTTTGTTGATAATGCCAAACGACTTTTTTACATCCAATATGCCTCTGTACCACCTCATTACCAGGGTGTTCTTTGTGGTAATAATTTATTTTCAATAATATGAATTGAAAAAGAAGTGGGAATTATTATCGAGTTAATAATAATATCCAGTTTGAATACATGTTGGACGATGGTTGACTCATAAGCCAAACTAATCTAGTCTGAATAAATAACAAAGTTTCATGAGCATGCAGGTCTGAACTTCCACTAGCGCAATCTGTGAAAAGTTATGCCCGTGTTACCCCATTGAATGAATAAATAATACTCACGTTGCGACTGGGACACGGTGGGTCGGGATCTAGAGCGTCCCACGACTCTCTCCGGACTGGGAGGGACACCGCTAGCCGTCCCGCTTACTGGGGATCTCTTCGCGCGCGCTGTGTGAGACAAATATTTGTTATTTGATAGCACACTAATGACACAGTCAGCCACACTGTTAACTATCCATTTTTGCTCTCGCTCTCATCAAATGGCGATTTTTTGCGATAGAACGAGACGACACGACAGGCAATGGATAGTTAACACTGTTGGCGATGGTACAGCAGCGTCAAATAGTTATCAAAGTGGACAAAAAGTTGATAACACAACCCTATTTCAATAGACGTGTTGACACCACTGATCAATTGACGTACTTTTTGAAACTGTCAAAACGAAACTCTCCCATAGACTTTGTATGGCACTACAAGCAAATGACGTCACTATTTTGTCAACTCGATTAAACTACTTTTTTCAATTACAGTGCGAGCAAAAATCGCAATTTACAGGTAATTTAAAATTAATTAAGTTTATAAGACCAGAATGAAAACTTTTAAAAAAAAATTACATTTCGAATTATTGGGGAATGGTGTCAAATTGTCTATTGTAACAAAGACGTGTAGCGAACTTATTGGCTACTACACTGACAAAATTCAGCGCGAGGTGCGCTGAATTTTGTCAGTGTGTGCGTGCGCGCCGCATACGTATTGGCGCGCTCACATACAAACCGCGCTCGGGCGTTTCTATGAAGATGACCTACTCATTTGTATTTACTCTGGTGTCATGAACTATTTGACGCTGACTGTGACTGACAAAATGACGAATTTTCACTATGGATTTTAGACATTTGTCCCACTGCCGGCCAGTAAGCGACTATAGATGACCCAAACTGAACTGTCCCACCAAACTCATTGACAGAAGGGCGCCACCATCGTTCAACTTTAAGGCTTCCACAGACCAAACGCGGGTCAGAAGCAGTGCCGGTCAGTTGCAGCGCGGCAGTAGGCACACTGAAGGCAGCGCAGTTTCTAAGCAGTTGCAACGCGGGCGGGTTGGATTGGATCGCGGGCCCTAGTTCAAATTTGGTGTGACACACTTCAAAGAGTTTCTTGTATTACAACTTGCGCGGGCCCGCATTCAAACTGCGCTGCTATTGCCCCGCGTTTCATCATCACTCATTCAAAAATCAGAACCAGCGAGGTATTGACGGTGGCGCCCCGCTGTTAACGTCACGGGTAGGACAGTTCAGTTTAGGTCATCTTTATCAACTATTTTATAGCTCTAGACGTCACGCACGCCATGAATGTTGTCAAGTCAAACGTCAATTCTGATAGCTTTATCGCTGTATAGTGGCTACAAACGAGTGTGCGAGTAAATATTTTTTTAAATTAAGTAAAACTAATTAGTATTAAGCTACGTATTATAAAGTAGAGTTGTTTGTTTCTTTAATAAAGATAAAATAAATAAATAAAAATACTACTGGTTCCTATCTAGGCAAGCATAGCTAATATTTTATTTGACAGCTTTCGTCGCTGCGATTAGCTAATAGGGATGTTTCCTGGGTAAAAAGGCAAGAGTTTAACCCTACGGTGGTCGCGCTCTAAAATATCACGTTAGTGGTCGCGCGGATTACATGCGTAAGCCATTTTATGGAGTAAAAAAAGAAGACATCGCTTTATAAAAGCATGTTTCTTTATTTTTTATATTTATTGTTATGTATTAGTTAATGAAATAATCAAACAAAGAAACGAGCAGTTCTTCTCAGTTTTTATAAATTAACCAAAACATAAAAGTCATCATTTTTCATCAAGAAAATGTCAACTTTGGCAGTTTAGAAATTATTTAGTACTAATTGCACTTATTTATTAATTATATTTTGGTTTTTTTTATGAAACTAGCCTATTGAGTACAATCAGCGATAAGCTATTAATACAAATAGGGTGATTGCTATAGTAATTGGCCTATACATAGTTATTGGCATATTGGATTGTTAATAAGTAAGAGAAAAAAAATTTACTACATTGGACTGCGTATTGCTCAGAAAAAATAGAAAATTTGTCTCTTCCTTTCTTAATAACTTCCATTAGGCTTGTTTCTTTTCATTTTAGGCAAGTTGGCCAATAACTATGTATTGGCTAATTACTGTAGCGATCATCCTAACCATTTCTTTTATTGACGTGGGACCTCCATCTATTGTTTTTTGAGCGAGAAAATATTTGATTTCGTCGCTTACTTGACGGAGTTAGAACAAGTGCTTTGACGTCACTGACCTCTACACACTAGACTGGCTGTTGTTTTAATATTTTTGTGCCTATTTGATTTTCGCCATTTGGCGCTGTAGGCCATGCTGTAGGCAGATAGTGTGATAGTGTCCATGGAACTAAAATTAGTGATTTTCTTTCCCGTTTACTTCTATGGTTATTCCATACAACGTCAAAATTAGTTCTCGGGACACTCGTAGTGGCGCTTCAAATCGGCACAAAATTAGCTGTCATTAGGCTAGTTTCCTAAAAAATTTTTTTTGTCCGTCATGTTTAATATCAAAAAATATTGGACACATATTTTTATTTGTCAATCTAACAAATAATTACATAGTTATGGTGCGTTGAAGTTCCGCACGACGTCACAACGTGCGGCACTTTTATGCAAGCATTGACGTCACGGGCCTCTTCTTATGAACTTTGGCGCGCTTTATCTCTTTAAATTTTCATTAGTGTGAAAAAGTAAAAAATTACGTGTAGAGTATTTTTTGATAAGTTAACTGACGGACTAATTAAGACTTTTGCTTTTTGACCCAGGAAACATTCCTTTTGTATGAGACAGCCTGACCAGTGGTGAGTAGAGGTTAGTGATTGACGTTTATATTTTTCTAACAGGGTCAAAAGTCAAGAGATTTTTTTTCATTTTGAAGGTATACTAAGGACTGTACGAATATAATAATAATAATAAAAATAAAAATTGTTTATTTCTGTAAATCATTTACAATAAAGTTACCGGGGTCTCCCAGAAAGTAATCGTAAGATACTTGTGTTGGGAGTACCTCGCTCTTCCACCTTAGTTACAAATTAGTTTAGATTTACGTGATAGATTTGCTAGTAGTAGGTAATAACATTGTTAAGTACACAAGGTTATAATTGAGGTAAGTGTGCATGGGTGTGATGTGTATGTATGTAAATGTGAGGTAAGTGTCCTTAGGTGTGATATGAGTATATGTATNAATAATAGAAAAAACAACCCCCAAGGGTGGAAAATTGGGGATGAACTTTTTTATACGCAATATCTCCGCCGTTTATAAATCAATTTGAACGATTATTTTTTTGTTGAATAGGTATTATCAAAAGAGTAGTTTCATGCGAATTTGAAGAAAATATTTCACCCCCAAGGGTGGAAAATTGGGGATGAACTTTTTTATACGCAATATTTTTAATTTTTAGTTTTTTTTGTGTTCACGCATTTGAAGTCGGTTTTATTTTTTTTAAAAGTTAATTATTTAAAGCCTACTAGGTCATGAAATTGAAAAAAAGTTACAAAATTATTGATAACTTCTAAACTACGAAAAAGCCGCGGGCAAAAGCGTGTAATATTATAATATTATCATTATCCCAATCCCAACTAATATTATAAATGCGAAAGTAACTCTGTCTGTCTGTCTGTCTGTCTGTCTGTCTGTCTGTCTGTCTGTCTGTCTGTCTGTCTGTCTGTCTGTTACGCTTTCCCGGTTAAACCTCGCAACCGATTTTGATGAAATTTGGCATAGAGATAGTTTGACTCCCGGAATGAACATAGGATAGTTTTTATCCCGGTTTTTGAAACAGGGACGCGCGCGATAAAGTTTTTCTGTGACAGACAAAATTCCACGCGGGCGAAGCCGCGGGCGGAAAGCTAGTGTACTTATGAATTCCACTACTTTATATAAAGATATTAACGAAACACTCTAAATTAAAATTAAATTAAAAATTGTTTATTTCTGTAAATCATTTACAATAAAGTTACCGGGGTCTCCCAGAAAGTAATCGTAAGATACTTGTGTTGGGAGTACCTCGCTCTTCCACCTTAGTTACAAATTAGATTTACGTGATAGATTTGCTAGTAGTAATAACATTGTTAAGTACACAAGGTTATAATTAAGGTAAGTGTGCATGGGTGTGATGTGTATGTATGTAAATGTGAGGTAAGTGTACATGGGTGTGGTGTGTATGTATGTAAATGTGAGGTATATTGTGTGCATGGGTGTGATGTGAGTATATTTTATGTATGTAAATGTGAGGTAAGTGTGCATTGGTGTAATGTGAGTATATGTATGTAAGTGTACAAGTGAGGTAAGTGTGCATGGGTGTGATGAGAGTATAAAATATGTATGTAGATATGAGGCAAATGTGCATGGGTGTGATGTGTATGTTATGTTGTGTGTCAATTTCAACTTCAACTAATTCTTACGAAAATATTTTCCACCTCAACGTAATCGAGTGTAAAAAGCCAATCAGTGAGACATTTCTTACACTCAAACAGTAACTTGGGGTAAATATTAAGAATGCGATTAATTTTATTATAAACGTGGGGGGCTTGGGATAAGTTTTGCCGAGTGGCAAAGACAGTTCGCGAAGGTAGAAGGAAGGTAGGGGCNATCAAGGTTCATCAATTTAAGTTTAAAATAATAGGCAGTAATGTATGAAGAAAGAGCTTCTATTCTGTATCTACCTATGCCCGTGTATTTTTGATCGGTGTCAAATCGGAGTTTTTGGTGCGGGGTACGCGGGTGTTGCTCGCGGCGTGAAGGTCAAACGCCCAAGGTCATTGAGGACTCTAATCGCCTTAAGCCGGCGCGGGCGCGGACGGCGATCAACCCGAACGATTTGACGCAAATCGGTTTATTATTCAATTATTTTGCGAACAGATTAACAAAGGTGTGTGTTAACCTCAGATCATAGAAATGATCTGAGGTGTTAACGATGAAACTGCTTAATTAACCCCAGCAAATTGGTGCGATTTTGTAACGGTTAAGTTATTAAGGTTTAAGATCTTAGTAAAATAATGATTTCAAAGAAAAATCAAACAAGATGTTGGTACTTCTAAACTGTGTAAAATTAAAATCGATTCCCTTTGGTTGAATTAAACCTACACG